ATGGCCGGGAAGGAGACATTTAAGAGTATTTTGGACTCAAGAGGTGTCAGGTCAAATCTGACCCGCATTCGAGTTGAACTTGACCTGGGACTGTTCAGAGTTTATAATTATGATATAACGAGTGTGCATCTAGAAACATTTAAACTTGACAAAGTATTGAGAAGATCAAATCTGTACACTGCACTCCCCTCCAAACAGGACCCCATTGTGTTTCTGCCATATATACAAAAGACATCTATGTATAAAGCTTTAATGAAGTGCACACTATTTTGCATTTACACACGAATGAAAGGATTAATGGGTTGTTGGGAAACAACTAAATAATCATTGTTGGTAGTGAGTTGTAGGGCAAATCCGATTTTTTAAATCTAATTTGCGCTTGGCTTCCGCTTATCTTTAATCAGAATTGAATGAACCAGATATGGCTTATTTGGAGTGTAGCGATTACTTCAAGAGGATTATTGCTATTTGGCCAAACAAAAAAGTAGTCGGTCTCTGGTCAGCGCGCGCGTCGATTTTAATCAAATTTACCACAGAAGCTACAACAGCGCCCTCTATTGCCGCATCTCCTCACATTTTTGTACCAAGGAGCACCACGAAATGGGGAATTGCACCAAGACAAATGATGGAGGGCACCAAGGCAAAATATTGAGGACACCAATGTATATGAGGACCGTAGTAAAATAGTACCCACCTTGTCTGTACAATTCAAGCTTGAAAAAAACCCCGGAACTTCAGTTTGACCGGAGACCAAATAACTTTTTGTTGCCTTACCTGCGTCAATCTTGTGGTAATGGTGGCCAATCAACGTGTTTTTCTGCACACCTGAAGTTAACAGCTTTTGTCTGAATTTATTTTTGTCAGTGTAAAAAGTGAATATACTGTGAAGCAACATATTTTGACAAATTTGCGTCAAACAGCAGTAGCCTAGATACTAAAACATTGTTTTTTGGCAATTTTGTTTTGCAAGTTATTTTAATTTCTTAACCTATTTTTCTCTGTTGAAGAATAGAATGATGTTCATCAGTTCAGAAACAATATTTCATTGAAGCAATACTTTTTTTTATCTGAATAGGTGTGCCTGCACCCGGACCTCAGCATAGCCAGACACAAGCCCAAGAACCAAGGCCGAGGGCTGCTAGCTACCAAGATGTCGGTAACAAGACTAGGGACATTTTGAAGGAAGTTTATAAAACAACAGGCAGTTACGTGCAGTTGTTGCCTGGGGTTAAAGATGACCAAATGCACATAGCTGGCATATACACTAAAGTAAAGTTAGAAACACGGGAAGGGGTTGCAGTGACTGGCCAGAAAGGAGAAACTGTAAACTCAACGGAGTATACCAAAATATTCAGATTAATAAGGACAAGAACTGGGGAAATCATAAAACGCCTCATTTTCTTTGGAATGGGAGGTGTCGGGAAGTCAACTATTTTTGATAAGATTGCATTTGACTGGGCCGATGAGAATGATGAGACAAGCGAAATTCTGAAGCAATTCAAGCTTGTCTTTCTTTTAAAGATGTGTGCCCTGTTTCAAGGATCCGATTTAGTTGATTCTGCTTTCGATCAACTTCTAGGCGAAGATTCAGGAATAGCAAAAGATGAACTTGATAAATTCATCCTGGCCAACCCAAATGAGGTATTGATTCTTTTGGATGGCTTTGATGAAATGAGGACCAAAAAACTCAATGCAGCCTCATTCGGTTCTATCCTAAAAGCACTCAATAGAACAAGATACAGGCATTGCTTAATCTGTGTCTCGACCCGCCCTTCTCATCTTGAGACACTGATGTCAGAATCACTTGTCCAAAATCCTTGCACACACGTAGAGGTTCTGGGGTTTACTGACGAGGATGTTCATGAATACGTTCAGAAATTCTTTGACAACGATCCTGATAGTGGCAAAGCACTTATCAAAACCATTGAAAAGTCGAACACGCAGCGTGATTTTGCTACGAATCCTATGTTACTGCTTCTCATGTGCTTATTGTGGAGGGAGAGTAAACAACTCCCAGAAACAACTTCACGCCTCTTCACTGAGGCAATTGATCACATGTTCACAAGAAAAGAAGATAGGCCTATCACCGACGAAGATCCATCGAAAACAGTGATTTCCATAGGACAAACTGCGCTGCGTGGACTCATGAGTGCCAACCAGAAATTCTCATTCCAAGAAGATGAGTTTGAACCGAGGGCACTGGACCTTGCACTAAAAGTGGGTATCCTAACCAAACAGAGAGTTATCAAAAACCGCAAATCTCACAATAACATACAATTCATGCACAAGACTATGCAGGAATACTGTGCAGCAAAATACTTGCAGAGCGTACATAGGACGAACCTGGGATTTGTAAAGCGTAGGGTGTACAAAGTTGTACCATTCGGAGAATTTACAAAGAATTCGAGGCGACTTTGTCAGACAATTGAAGGCGCTGTGTCAAATGAGTTTCTCTTCCGTTTTTGTTGTGGTGACAATAAGACATGCATGACTGACATCGTAAACTTGCTTGACAAAAAGTTTAATAAGAATGAGCCAAAGTACCAATCAGATGTAGTACAAGCGATTAGTCGAAACTGTTTTTTTGAAAGCCAGTCAAGCAAGGCCCCACGGTGTCTCACCACGGACTCGCATATCCCATCAACTATGAAGGTGCATAACACTAATGATTTCCGCAGTCTCATGTACCTGCTTGACATCGTCTGTAAGTCCGACAGCTCGGAACTGGCACGCATTGAAACTATTGAGGTTTCCTCATTGTCTTCGGTCAGTGATTTAGCTTCCGCCCTGGGTTACATGGAAAACCTCAGGAATCTGAGGCTCTACAGTTGTCCTTTAGTGGAAGGTGATCTTGAGAAAACCCTGTTGTCACTGAAATGCAAGCAACCCTTGATTGATCTTTGCATAAAGGGTGATAATACGTTGGGGGGTACAGCTGTAGAATGGGCCCCTCATATTAAACACTTGACAAGCCTCAACAAACTTGAAATAAGTGACTGCAACCTTCAGATTACAGACATTGAACACATTGCCTTGTCTGTCAGTGACATGCCAAACCTGAGTGACTTGATCCTTGCTGGCAACACAGCGCTGGGCAGATCGGCTGACTTGCTGTGGGTCAAGAATTTGTCACGATTTACGAACATACAGACGTTGAACCTGAGTAGTTGTACATTGCAGTGGACAGACATTGAACACATTGCCTCGGCTGTAAGTGACATGCCCAAACTGACTAACTTGATCCTCGCCAACAACCCGGCACTTGGCGTATCGACAGAGAAGTGGTCCCGTTATTTGTTAAGAGTGAAGCAAAATGACACGCTGGACCTAAGCAATTTCTCACTAACGTGGAAAGATGTTGGCACAATTTCCGTTGTGTTAGACCATATTCCCGCACTGACTAACTTGATCCTTGCCGGCAACACAGCGTTGGGCAAATCGGCTGAACGGTGGGCCAATCATTTGACGCGATTTACGAACATAAAGACGCTGAACCTGAGCAATTGTACATTGCGATGGACAGACATTGAAAACATTGCCTCGGCTGTAGGTTACATGCCAAGCGTGACAGACTTGATTCTTGCCGACAATCCGGCACTTGGCGTATCGACAGAGAAGTGGTCCCGTTATTTGTTAAGAGTGACGCAAAATCACACGCTGGACCTAAGCAAGTTCTCACTAACGTGGGAAGATGTTGGTACAGTTTCCGTTGTGTTAGACCACATTCCCAAACTGACTAACTTGATCCTTGACGGCAACACATCGTTAGGGGGATCGGCTGGGTTGGAGGCCAAGAAATTGTCGCGACTGACGAACATAAAGACGCTGAACCTGAGCAATTGTACATTGCAACGGACTGACATTGAACACATCGCCTCTGCTGTACATGCCATGCCCTGTCTCACTGACGTGATCCTTGCTGGCAACACAGCGTTGGGCAGATCGGTTGAATTGTGGGCCAATCATTTGTCGCGATTTACGAACGTACAGACGTTGAACCTGAGCAATTGTGCATTGCAGTGGACAGACATTGAACACATTGCCTCGGCTGTAAGTGACATGCCAAAACTGACTGACTTGATTCTCGCTGACAACCCGGCACTTGGCGTTTCGACTGAGAAGTGGTCCCGTTATTTGTTAAGAGTGAAGCAAAAACACACGCTAGACCTGAGCAATTTCTCACTAACGTGGGAAGATGTTGGCACAATTTCCGTTGTGTTAGACAGTATTCCCAAACTGACTAACTTGATCCTTTTCGGCAACACAGCGTTGGGCAGATCAGCTGAACGGTGGGCCAATCATTTGACAGGATTTACGAACATAAAGACGCTGAACCTGAGCAATTGTAAATTGCGATGGACAGACATCGAACACATTGCCTCGGCTGTAAGTGACATGCAAAGCGTGACAAACTTGATCCTCACTGACAACCCAGCACTTGGCGTATCGACTGATAAGTGGTCCCGTTACTTGTTAAGAGTGAAGCAAAAACACACGCTGGACCTGAGCAATTTCTCACTAACGTGGGAAGATGTTGGCACAATTACCGTTGTGTTAGACCACATTCCCAAACTGACTAACTTGATCCTTGACGGCAACACATCGTTAGGGGATCGGCTGAGTTGGAGGCCAAGAGATTGTCGCGACTTACGAGCATAAAGACGTTGAACCTGAGCAATTGTACATTGCAACGGACTGACATTGAACACATTGCCTCAGCTGTGGGTGACTTGCCCAAATTGGCTAACATGATCCTAACCGGCAACACAGCGTTGGGGGGATCGACTGACTTATGGGCCGATCATTTGTTGCGATTTACTAACATACGGACGTTGAACCTGAGCAATTGTTCATTGCAATGGACAGACATTGAACACATTGCCTCGGTTGTAGGTGACATGCCCAGACTGACTGACTTGATCTTTGCCGGCGACACAGCGTTGGGGGGATCGGCTGAGATGTGGGCCACTAATTTGTTGCGACTTACGAACATAAAGACAATGAACCTGAGAGATTGTGCATTGCAATGGACAGACATTGAACACATTGCCTCGGCTGTACATAACATGCATAAACTAACTGATTTAATCCTCTCTAATAACCCGGCACTTGGCGAATCCACTGAGAAGTGGTCCCGTTACTCGTTAAGAGTGAAGAAAAAGCACACGCTTGACCTGAGCAGTCTCTCACTAACGTGGAAAGATGTTGGTACGATTTCCATTGTGTTAGACCACATTCCTGCACTGACTGACTTGACCCTTGCTGACAACTGGGGATTAGGCGTATCGGCTGAGTTGTGGGCCAAGGAACTCCCGAGAATGACGCACCTTAATAAGCTGGACCTAACGTTTTGTCGTTTGACGCCATCGGACATTAAACACATCGCCTCGGCTGTACTTGACATGCCCAGACTGACTGACTTGACCCTTGGTAACAACTGGTTATTTACGAGATCGGATGAGTTGTGGGCCAAGGAACTGCCGAATAAGACGCACCTAATTAGGCTCGACCTGACGAGGTGTTATTTGACGTCATCGGACATTAAACACATCGCCTCGGCTTTACATGACATGCCCAGACGGACTGAATTGATCCTCAGTAGCAACTGGGGATTGGGCGGAGCAGCTAAGTTGTGGGCCAAGGAATTGCCGAAAATGACGCACCTAATTAGGTTGGACCTGACGAGTTGTAATTTGATGCCGTCAGACATTCAACACATCGCCTCGGCTGTACTTGCCATGCCCAGACTGACTGACTTGACCCTTGGTGACAACCAGGAATTGAGCAGATCGTCTGAGTTGTGGGTCAAGGAACTGCCAAAAATGACGCACCTAAATAGGCTGGACCTGTCGTCGTGTCGTTTGACGCTGTGGGACATTAAACGCATCAACTCGCCTGTACTTGACATGCCCAGACTGCTTCACTTGATTCTTAGTGGCAACTGGAGATTGAATAGTTCGGATGACGATAAGGCCCCCCAAAAAAAGTCTCCGGTTTCTGGTATGCGCACGCGTCGCCATAGCAGGGGTCAGACAAGTCGACCGTTGAGACAACCCGACTCGACTAGCAATGCGCGTCAACTAAATGACGCGCAATTTTTTAACCCTTTCATGCCCACATTGTTTAATGACTTGGCTTTCCCCAGGACCAAACTGTTTGCTCAGTCATGCGGAAATCACTAGAGCGTGAACAAAATGACCACAAGTCCAAAACTCACTTTTTTCAACCCAGATTTTCACTGCCAAGGAGTGATTTAAATCATAAGTGTTGTGTGTGAAGTTTGTTTATTGAACCTTACTCTTTTATCTGATGTAAAAATGAAGTCCATATGTGTAAATTCAAGAAAGTTATGCCTGTTTGTTCATCAGGTTCCATTTATCAAACTGCAAGCCATTTTACCACATGACCAAATGGCACTCCATACCTCAATTTGCGTCGACTAAATGAAAGGTTTTTTTTTAATACAAGATGATGTCTCAAAACCACCAAACTCTACTGGTTTGACTGGAATCCTGCTGCTGCACAATTTTAACGTGCTTTTAGATGGGGTTATGATCGAGAATAAGCTTTATGTGGCCTCTCTGGACTCCCATATATTTGCACTAAGTTTAGTCGGGCACCATTTGCAGTCATTAGCCGACATTTGAAGCCCCCCAAAAAACAGGTAAAAAAAAAAAAAAGCCGCGTCGCCGCACCAATTTTGGGGCAAGCTCCATACCAGAAACCGGAGACTTTTTTTGGGCCTAACTAACGTACTAGCCTTGAAATAATCCTCGTTACTAAATCCAAATGTTGACATTCTCACTGAAAGGAAAACAGGTGTTTTTACAAGAAAATATTTTTGAAAATTCCCCGCTCCCCCCCCCCCCCCAAAAAAAAGAAAAATCCCAATTCTATATATTTCAGCCTGTACTGAGCAAAATTACGAAATTACAGTTTAGGTGAAACTTTCTTTGAAAATCTCAACCATTGTGTCCTACTACATGCAATTCATTTCAATTTTCAATTCAATCTATTTATTCATCATGTGTTATGAAATTTGCTTTCCTTTGTACAGCAGTAACAATTCAACTAAATATATAAAATACACTCATTGCACAAAGGCGATATACTTACAGATAAAAAGCAAGAAGAGAAATTGCAGAGTAAGGAAAACAACAAATGCACAAATATGAAACGAAAAACGGCCCATGAACAACTTGCTGACACCCCCCTTGCTGAAACCCATAGCTAGAATAGGCAAAGCACAGTGCAGGTGACATAAAGGGTAAAAACAGACGATTTAATATCCAAATAAAAAGAATTACTTGTATTTTTTTAATGGCATAAGGTAGACAAATATAAAAACCAAACAATTTATGTGTACAATTTGAAGGGGAAAAATGCACAAATCAGAAACCAGCCTATAATCTAAACATGCTAACCCCACCCCCACGTACCCCACAAAAAAGTTGGCTAAGACAGACACTTCGTTAATTTTAACAAGTTGCATAGTTTGTTCTTTTTAAAATTAATAACCATTTCTTTAGTGTTTTGCGCATCAATCATTAAGTGATTTTCAACACACTAATTAACAAACATATCAATGTTGCTTATTTAATCCAATTCATAATTGTCAGCTATCAATGGAACTAATTCAATGAAATCGGGGACTTGTGCAAATTACAAAGAACAAAACAGATCGTTGCAATGTGTCATTCCCGGATGCCTGTTTCATAACACATTCTTGATTCAGATGGTTATAGCAGAGTCACGCTGCGTGTAGGACAATTAGCTGTTCGCTATCTACGTACGACACAGTGGTTTGTCATCAAAGTCGAACTGACACTCTAATAAGTCCCGGGTCAGATTCGACCCGGCATCCACGTCAGGATGGACCTGACACACTCCTGGGCCAAAATGAAAATTTGTCTTGAAAAAAAAATGCTACTTTTTCCGGGGCAAATAGCCGGAAGGGTGGCCCTAGCTGGGAAGTGTCATTTTGACCCGGAACAGTGTCAGGCCAAATCTGACCTGGATTGGGGTCCAATCTGACCCGGGACTTTATAGAGTGTATATGATTTGCCGATTGTGCATCTGCAAACTTTTAAACTGGCAAACAGAATCATAATAGGCTTCGAATCTGTACGTGTGTGCACGAAAACACGACTAAGTCGAGACACAGGTGATGCATGGTACTCGTTGATTTCTTACCAAACACTGAGGCTGTATGGGTGGTTTGGTCCATTTCCTTCACATGTTGAAACTGGTTGGCCAGACAACAATTTGTATTTATGTGTAACGTTAAGACAATGAGTATCCTTTGAGCAGTTTTGTAATGAATACAACTACTGATGGCAAATACATGTACATTTTTGTAAATAGAATTATATTTTTATAGACTGGTTGGCTTGACAGTTATGGTATTTGAGAAAAACCTCGAAAACATTGAGTATTTAGTACTTTTGGGATTACTTCAACCAGTTAACTACAATACTGGTAACAATACTGTAAATAATGTAAAATAATTGTCTCTCTGATAAGAACACATATATTTATATTTTGGTTAAATGTTGTATAAATGTTGGTGCTAAAATTGGTGTGGAGATCACTATTTAAACAAAACTGCAAGCGAAACAGTAACTCTTGAAGGGGTGGGTTCCTAGTTCCTGTCCCCATCCTTCACTGAATCTTGAAAACATTAGGAGGTTTCCCTTCTAATGTATGCAAATTATATGCAGGACGTGCATAGGTTTGAATCCCTCCTCCTTAATTCAAAATCACAACAGTAATGTTTGCGCGCAACCAGCCCATAGCAAAATGGCCATAGGCCACGAATGTGCAATTTAGGAGGTGATGCGCTTCGATTTCTGCTGAATTCGAACGTGCCTCTGGCAAATATCAATAAATAGAGAGGGACATGAGTGTTTAGTGTTTAAAACCCATGCAGTTGGAATGCTTTGAAAGTTGCATTTTTGGAGACACTGGCGAATTTGCGCACTTTTTATGGTAAGACAAGAGTCAGTTTTTTGACAAACATGTGTTACATTTTGCATAATGATTCAAAAATAAGCAATCATGCTGTTCACACGCCGAAGTCGTCATATCAATGGCTTTAAATGGGAGCTACTAATGAGTCCCAAAATTGTTAGGGTGGCGACTCTTTTTAAGATTTTATCTGTTCTGGGTGAAAATGAAAACTACCAAATTAAAGTGGATGTAAATCAAATGTGATGTTTACATATACAGTCTTTGCGTTGCAGACAACAAAATGTTGAAAGTTTGACTTTATTCACAAAGTTCTTTGGAAGATAATTTAAAAAAGAAAATATAATTACTTGATAACGGATTTGGTTATATTTACCTGTTTTGCAGAATATCTGTAATCACACGGATATACTATCACACATGACGGGAAAAGTTTCCTTTTTCCAAGTGATATAATAACCTGATGGAGTAGACGTATGGACTGCATTCTGGTAAAATACATCATGTTTATATCTCACAATTGTTTCTGGTGTGATCATTTTGTGTCAATCGTACTCTGTTATATTGAATGGTATTTTAATTGTTTTTTTTTCTGATTTTTTTTGTTGGGGGACTTTTGCAAATAAACTGTAATAAAAGACCACTATAAGCGAACCCCAACCATGAGAACAAAGAAAATGCAATCTAAAGCTTACACACATCAAGGAGTGGTCTTTTAGTTTATTTCACCGAAGTTATGTTTTCATCGACTAGGCTAGACAATGGTTCCTTATATATGGACATTTCATTCAAACATTGGGAGTACTGACTAGCTAATTTAAATTAAAACTGCTCGGTCTATTTCTAAGTAGGCCTGCACTAGGTTGAAACGGGAAAAGGCCCAAATGGTTTTATTCATTAAGTTCCTTTTAATTTTTCCAGAGATTTGTGTATTTCTCGTTATTTGTTAAATTGTTCCTTAATTCTGACAAGCAAAGACATAAAATTCGTATTAACATTAAACATGAATGAATTTTCTATCGTTTGTATATACACAAAACCTTAACAGGATCTTAGTCATCTAGGAGCGCCCTCTCGTGAAAACGCAGACTTCCCATAGCATTGTGGGTATTACCGCCATCTTTTCAATCGTGTGTCGTACGCACGAGGAAGTGTTTTGTCCCGGTCATTGCAAGTTGAACAATATCGGAAACCCTCGTCCTTCTCAATGTCCGAGTATCTGGAACGAGATAAGGTAATGTGTTATTAACCCTCCTAGTGGGAAGTCACTATTCAGAATGAAATGAAAAACCCTGCAGGTCAGTTTCAAATGAAAGTAAGTGTGTCACACATAGAGTCACTGCACAAGAAACAGCACTGTAGGGCGCAGTGAAGTGTGACTGAATCTGCCTGCTAACAATGAGTTTAATAACAAAGGATTTGTGCGGCGATTCGAAGTGTTCTTATACTTCGCAGACTGAAGAGTACCTCAAGGAATTTGAAGTATGGGCGCTGCAACTTAATGGGCAAAAGTGGTTTTACAAATATTGACTCCATCAGGGTTGCACTGCTAAATTGAATTTCCTACATTTCGTATTATATAAATTATTCCCTTGTCTCATTAGAGACGGTGAGACAAGAATATTTTTCTTGAAATAAGTTTTTGTTATAGCTTTTAGCAGTGTGTGAAAAGCAGAAGACTAGACTATGATTAATTCAGGAAATGGTATAAGTATTGCCATAGTTACAGTACAATACAGTGCAATTCCGAAATGCGTAATCAGTGGCGTAACGAAGTTATTCTTATGGGGGAGGGGGGTAGACGTGAAAAAGGACACTCCTCCATCCATGCTAAAAGGTAGACTTTTTTTTTTCATCGGTCACTGGCCTCTGTAAAATATAAGAGAAACCATCTTCCTATGGGGGCGCTGTTCAAACCGGACAACCATGGGCATTATCGAACAATAGATGGCGCTTTTCAGGCAGGTCGGCACGATTGCCGACATTCG